CTCTGTGTCCTCAATTTCTTTTTCTATTTTGAAAGGGAAAAGTCAAGGTTCTGTTTAGACCCTTAATATTTTTCTGAAGCCCCTCCCAAGTAAAAAAATAAATAAAAATGTAAAATAATAATAAAAAATAATAAAAATGAAAAAAAGATGATAACAAAATTATGAAAAATAAGATAAAAAAAATAAAGAAATACAAATTAAATGACAATATGTTAAATACATATTTAAAAAAGTAAAAAATAAAGAAAAATGAAAAAAAATGATAAAAAAGTCAAAAAAATAAATTAAAATTAAAAATAACCCTTCCTCCCCCACCATCTGGTTGCAATTCTCCTTTGGGGGAGGGGGTTGGTGGGGAGGGGGGTGCATAGATAAACCTGGCCTTGGGGCAGCAGAGAGAGTAAATCCGGCCTTGTGTGTATCAGGTACTTATTTAGACTTCCCAAGTTTCTTTCCAGATCTTCTAAAAATGTTCTTGTTGATGTTGATGAAGCACAGATACATAAGTGCATACATATAACATCTTTGAGTAGATCATTTTGAACCTCACATAAACAATATATCCTCTTTAAGCATCTTCTTGACCAGTGTATACATTTTTAGCATTAAAACCTTACGTACATCACGCATAACATCTACCTCTCAATTGGGAAATCTGTATACATATCTAGTCCCAAGAGTAGCCACTGCAGTCTATTTGTGAGGTAAATGCCCAGGTGCTTGTAACAGGGTGTTAGACTTGTAGTTCTCACTTTCTTCCACGAGACGTCTACACCTGCCATTGGCTCCTTCATTAAAATTGCTCCAATAGAACTTCACTTAGCCTCGCCCACATTCTTACATACCAAGAAATTTCCATACAAATCCAAAGTAGGTCTAGAGGCACTTACGGGTCTTGCAATGGAGATAAGTCACAGCAACAGAATTTTATTGTCAGCGTTTTGATGGGGCTCAGTCCATCTTTGTCAAGATTGCCTTGATAAAGAGGGACTGGGCTCCATCAAAACGTTGACAATAAAATGCTGATGCTTTAATTCTCGCTGTAAGACCCATGAGTGCCTCCACACCTATGTTGGATTTTTATGTACATTTATCTATGCAGGGCATTCAGCAAAGATTTCCCATGAAGCAGTAACATGTTCTAAAAAAGAGAACTTTGCACTCCATGCAGTGAGAGCTGCTTTCCCACCATAAACTCACCTTTTTATAAAATTACATCACACTACATTGCATGGTAATAGGTTATCATGCAATGTTGTATGATAACATGGACTGGTTAGGTGCATTGGGGTTCCATTAAAAAAGTAATATTGGGTTTGGAGCATCACACCACTCCCACATCACAAAGATGTGAGCAGAGCCTAAAAGTATGTGGACACCTGACCATCTCATCTACTGTACATGGGCTTTTTGACATCCAGTACCCAAACCATTAGCATTAATATGGAGTTGCCCTCTACACCCTCCCCTTGCAGCTATAACACCCTCTTCTCTTCTGGAAAGCTTTTCCGCAGGATTTGGGAGTGTGCCTGTGGGAATTTGTGCCCATTCAGCAAAGATTTAATTTGTAAGGTTAGGTACTGATGTTGGAGTAGAAGACCTGGCTCACAATTCAATTTATCTCAGAGGTATTTGTAAGGGTTGAGGTCAGGGCTTTATGCAGGCCACTCAAGTTCCTCCACACCCAACTAATTAAACCGTGACTTTATAGAGCTGGCTTTGTGCACCTGGGCACAGTCATGCTGGGACAGAAACTGTTACCTAAAGTTTGGACGTGAGCAATTATCTAAAATGTTTTTGTATGCTGTAGCATTAACTGAACCGTCTACTGGAAACACCTGAACTCAGTGGCGTCAGCAGGGCGGTAAGGGGGGTGCGGCCCACACCCGGGTGTCACCATTGCAGGGGGTGACACCAAAATGACTGACAGTCATTTTGGTGTCACCCCTCTAAAAAGTCAGGCACTCGGTCATGGACAGAGAGCCCGACAGTGTCAGAAGAGAGGAGGGGACCCGGCGACATACCTCATCCTGCCGGGTAAACGTCCCCTCCTCTCTCTGCCGGCGTCCATCACCAAGATGGCCGCCGGCAGGCATCAATCAGATGGGCGCGCATGTGCGATGACGCCATGGCGGGGTGTTACTTGGTCTAGAGACTGGGTGACACCCGGCCTCGGGATGCCCCTGCCTAAACTCAATGATTTGGAAGAGTGTCCTTAACGTTTTGACCATATATAGGTGTGATGGTAAGGTGTCAACAATTTTGTGACCATATAGTGATCTCTCTATGCAGATTTTACACTGGGAATAACAATTAAAAATATTAAACTTGTTTAAATAACAACAGTAAATGGCATTGTATGACATATGTAATCAATAAATTAATGGTGTAATTGTCCCAAGACAGAACATAGACCAGAAAATCTGTGAAAATGAGAAAAAACGTTATGATTATTATTTTTATTATGCAGGATTTGTATAGCGCCAACAGTTTGCGCAGCGCTTCATGAAAATACGTTGCTTTCCTGTAACAAAGGCACATTTCCTTGTACTTAAAAGAGAACTATGCGGTAAGTGTTTTTCCCCATAGTTCTCTTAAGGGTCACGGGGGGACATATACTAGCGTCCTCCCGTGACCCAAAGCTCAGTATATCGCGAGCTACAGCTCGCGGTATACTGAGACCGCCGCAGCTGGGATGGATCCCGACATTACTGTCGAGATCCACCCAGCTGCGTGAGTGACAGCTAGCTCTGTGTTCCTCCACTCAGCACTGGAGGATCAGAGAGGGGAGGGGCGCATCCCTGCAGGGGCTGGTGACTGACAGTCACCGCTCTCAGCAGGGAGATGATCGAGAAGTGAGCGAGCGACGGTATGCGTTCTCTCACTTCCCGATCAATAGAGCCGACCTGTGACAGCTTCTTTGTCACATGTCGGCTGTGTGGAAATCACTCACCTCATAGTTCTCCTTTAAAACTGAACTCCAGACAGATATAAAGGACACCAACATAGATCTGTATTAATTAATACCTCATTATATGATTTTTTGTTTAAATGCATGCAGTGTACTCATAACTGTTGACTGTCCGTATGTGTTTCTAGGTCTTTGGAGCCTGGTGGGTGTATGAGCTGGATTTAACCAGATCTGGTATTCTAGCTTTCTGATGAATTACAGTATCCTTCTTCAATAAACGTCTTTGGAATCACAGTACTTACTAGAATGGATTATTGGTACTTGGAGAAGTGAAAAAAAAATCAGTTTATTCTTCAAAAACAATAGTTAATGTCTACTTAGCCCATGGCAACACGTGGCTTTGGTTTACAACTGCTGAGATTCAGAGATTGACTTGGTCTTGCTCCTGAAGCTCGTTTGAACGGTTTCCTCCATGAAAGCCTTTTCAAGCGCTGAGTGGAGAGATCTGAAGAATTTTGTTTTGAAATCTCGCCCCATAAATACGTAGAGAACAGGATTAATGCAGCTGTTAATGAAAGCCAAACTGGTGACAAAAGGCATTGCAGCGTCTATTACACCACGCAGATGATCATTATCATCATGCCCTGCGGACAAATCCAGCAAGGAGAAAAGATGGTAGGGGAACCAGCAGATAAAAAACAAAACAATTACGGCTAAAATAATTTTAAATGGCTTGCCAGTTGTGTTCATGCGATTTTTTCGGATACGAAATACAATAATACCATAACATAAGACAATTAGACTGAACGGAATGATGAAAGTGAAGATGGTTCTTAGTATGACCATGCTCTTGTGTATTGAAGCAGCAACATTTTCATCCTCATGAAAGTTATTATAGCAAGAAACAAAATCTTCACCAAGGTTTGTATCTCGGATTATGAAATGAGGTACACTGAAAATGAAGGCTACGATCCACACTACCAGGGCTACTAGGGAGGCCCCTCTCGTAGTCCGGTGATTCTGGCACCACACAGGGAACATTACTGATGTACAGCGATCGATGCTGATCGCGGTGAGGAGGAAGACGCTGGCGTACAGATTGATGAATAGGATGGTGCTGTTCAGCTTGCACATGAATTTTCCAAAAGGCCAGTGAAAATTAAGGGCGGTGTAGGCGATGCTTAACGGCAGGCAAAACGTGAAGATAAAGTCAGCGCTGGCTAAATTAAGGAACCACACGATGTTGACTGTCCTTTTCATCTTAAAGGTGGTGAAAAAGATGACCAACCCATTCCCGATTGTCCCCAGCAGAAAGGCCACAGAATAGATTACTGTAGAAAATATATGAACTGTGTCTAAGGTTTCATCTGTTTCATATTCCTCATTATATTCGGTAACGTCAGTTAAGTAAGTATTCACCAGCTCTTCTTGCTGAGTGACAGTGATGGTCGGGTATGTCGTTGTAGAATTTCCCATTGTTCAAAAACTGAGTCAAAGGAACCTATAAAAAAACAAGAAACATTCAGACAGATATAAAGACGGCAACTATTGCAACTCTGTATTTATTATTATGTCAATCAACGTATTTTTGTAACGCAAGCAGTGAGAGTACCTTTATACTATTACCAGTACACAGCCCACCATAGACTCTGCATTTCCCACCATAGACCCTCTGCATTGCCCACCTGAGATCTTGCAGAGCTCACCACAGACCTCGCAAAGTCCACCGTAGACCAGGCAGAGTCTACCTAAAGACCTTGTAGAGCCCACCATAGCCCACCATAGACCCGGCATAACCCACCACAGACCCCGCATAGCCCACCACAGACCCAGCATACCCCACCTGAGACCACGTATAGCCCACCACAGACCCTGCATAGCCCACCATAGACCCCGCACAGCCCACCTGTGACATTGTAGAGCCCAACACAGACCCCGCATAGCCCACCTGTGACATTGTAGAGCCCAACACAGACCCCGCATAGCCCACCTGTGACATTGTAGAGCCCAACACAGACCCCGCATAGTCCACCTGAGACGCTGCAGAGCCCACCTGTGCTGTGCAGGATCTATGGTGGGCTGTGCAGGGTCCCTTTCCCTGCACACATGTGCTCCTTCACTTACCTGCAGCCCTCCCAGTCAGCCATCCTCTGGGTCATTCCGTCATCAGATGCAGGGGTATGGGCAGCAATGATTTGGGCAAAACGCTGCCCCCCCCCCCCTGCAAAGTGCCGCCCAAGGCAAATGCCTTGTTTGCCTTCAGGTGGATACGCCCCTGACTATTACCAGTCTTTTGCAATCCCCTGTACAGCAGAGTTTAAACTGGGAGAGAGAGTAAGAAGCACCACAAGAAGCCAATCAATGTTGTCATCATCATCAATCGATGCTCACATGCTAACAAGGGACATGCTGGTAGGAGGAGAAAGCCAAGTAAGTAAGAGATGAGCTCATTAGTCTGCTGCTGCTGCTTCTTCTTTCACTGTCCAGTCACAAGCTGGGGGAGGCACAGGACCCATTCCTAACAACAGCAGCGGAAAAATCAGGTGTCTTGGCCTTCCAGACAGGACTGTTCTGTGTGGCAGTCTCATGGACAGAAATGCAAATGCTGTGCCAGTTAAAGCAGCTCCCTTATATGTGTTTATCCTGTTTTTAATTGTTTTTCTGGAGTTCAGTTTTAACATATAACAACTGCTAAACAGATATGGTTTAGAGCAGTGGTTGTGAACCTTAGTCAGACCAGGGCCCCCGTAAATTCTTGCAAAACCTTATATGCCCCAACAGAAAACAAAGGTTATACTTTATACTAAAAGCATGAGACTTCAAAAAATGGTGGTTAGAATGGAAGAAGAATCTTGAATAATTGGTCATTGGGAAAAAAAGATGCCGTTATGTTGGTGTTAGTAGGAGGAAACGTAGAGGGGGCTTTGAAATGCATTAGGGGCTCTGGATGGGGATGTGGGGCTGGAAGGCTCTAAATGGACGGAATGAGGGTTCTGGAAGGGGTTAGAAGACACTATGGGAAATTGGGAGGAACTGTAAGACACTGTTGGAGGTTAGGAGTACTATGGGGGGACTGGAGGCTCTGCATCTGGCTGGAGGCACTATGAAGAAGACTGTAACAAATACTTGCTATCCACATCTGTAGTATAGTTGGAATTTGGTTGTTTTGAACATCAACCTCCACTTTTGATTTATAAGACCAAGGCTACATTTTGCCATATATTCACTGACTAACTCTTTTCTACTCAATCCAAAACAAGCCTAGATTTACACTATAAATAATGGGCCCACTTTAGACAGCAGAAGTATCCACTGAACATTTCTGAAGTACCCCCTGGGTACTGGTTGAGAACCTCTAATCAAGCTAAAGTGCTATATTGACACCCTGAGGTTTTTTTTATCTATTTTATTTTACTATTGCTAAACATGTTTAAAGATGTTGTATATGGTTTTTCTTTTTTGCTCCAAGTTTTACTTGCTCTTCAAAATATCCAGTGGGTGGCAGTAGGTATCTATACCATAACAACACTCATAGGCCAGAACTAAGGGTGGTAGGGTGAGAGAGCAGCTCCAAGGCTACGTTTAGATATCGGCGATCATGCACGATTGCACACAGCGATTGCCTCGTGGTCTCATTGATATAAAAGGGGTTATATCCGCGAGGCAATCACTGAAAAAACGTACATGTACCTTTTTTTGCGACATGCACCATGTGGATTTTTCAATCGCGATCGTGTAGAAATGCAAGGGCGGTATTGTGGCAGGAAACTGCACAATCTGCCTGGCACGATTGGGGTGCCTTTATAAAATAATGGAAGCACCAGCACCAACGTGGTGGTGTGCGATTCCGTGACTGCGGGGCCAGCTGTGCGTTTTCGTGCACGATTGCCGCGTGGTCACGGATTGCCCTGGTGTGAACCTAGCCTGAGTCTCAAAATCTACAAATTGTGATAATTTCATCCTCATGTTTTTCCCTTTTCTGCCCATGACAGTTGGTAATAACATGTATCAAGATATCTGTAGGGGTGCAGAATGTGTTGAGAGGAGTAAGGGGACTCTATTGTCCAGGAAACATGAGCCTTCAATTAAAGCTTACCTCCGGCTAGGGTCCCACTGCCTTTAAATTCTTCCCTTACCCCCCAATCCTAGCTAATCATTAAAGTGGACAAAAAATATAACTACATATCCCAAATACTTCTCTGAATCCATGGCTATGTGACCTGATGGGCCCCCATCTTCTTACTTGTGGACTACAGAGTAGGCGGCTCCCACTTTAAGTGTCCATGTTGATACCTGGGTGACATAGATGCTTCCCATTAGCTGCCCAGTAAAAGAGTCTTCACAGGCTTCAGAAGACTGATGTCACAATGAGGGGCAGCGACCATTCGGCCAAGGTCACTTGATGGCAGATTAAGGTGAGTAAAAAGTCTATTTTTTAAGGTTGTGAGTCGGAGGGGTGGATGGGTGAGGTGGGGCAAAAACTACTCGGAGATGGGCTTTATATGATATTTTTTATTTGGGAGATTTAAAAAAGATGGCTTTGAAGGTAACATATGCTTTCTAGTTTCTTAAACATGTTTGACAGTTTCCAACGAAATAAACCTTTCTATGATGGTGCCAGAGAGGTTGTTTTAAAAGTTAACATATTAAAAATAAAGAAACAAATACAGTACATATAAAAAATTGTTTCTTAAAGGAATCCTGCAGGGCCGCCTTAGCTGACCTTCTCTAAAAACTCTAGTCGCTTGGCTCTCTGACTTCAATGCTTTGAGTAGAGTGCAATCAGAGTGCAATTCAAAGTCAAACAGTACATGTAAGATTAAATGTTATATATTTAAAATGGATAAAAAAGATAAAATGCCAATGACAGCTGAATAAACGAAAAGGAATTGCTCATGCCATAACGTATGCAGACACATGTTGTGGTAACGCATGTTCCCATATTTGTTTAAAATGAACTAGGCTGTGTTTTAAAAAGGAACCCATTTAATGAAAATCTTTGTTAACCGGTTACTAAAAATCTCATATAAGCTTTGATTCATTAGCATGAGATTGTCCAGAAATCCACTGCCTTATGCTATGTTGTGTAGCTATGGCTGCTGTGAACCGTCTGCTGCTACTGATATAAATATGGTTATCAGGTGAGTTGATCAGCTGATGAGCTGAGATGATGTCATCAGTCTGCTGCAGGCAGGAGTAAGCATTTCCTTAGTCCCCTTTCTCCCCCAGTGATCAAACTGTGTATTGTAACTTTGTAGCAACTCACAAGGTGAGAGGCTGAAGCAGGGGCTGATATGTCCCAGATATTTGTGAACTCAGCTAAGAACTGAACAAAGTAGAATAAGATGGCTGTTTTCCTTCATAGGCTTTAGAATGTCATAATAAAAATGTCTGGATCAAGCAACTATCTATGGGCTGCATACACCTCTTAGTACTAAAAGTCAATTAACTGACTCTAGGAATAATGTGCAAACACCCCAGTGTATCCTCTCTCTAGCTTTCACTTTTTCATGTGTGTATGAAACCACATAGCTCAAGCTAGACACTCTAACATGTTCCGTGCATGCAGTGCCTCGGATTTTGCAATGCAAGTCTTGCTTTATGGATGCCTTTGGACTTGCAAAGTAGCAAGACTACCAATTACTGACTTGCAATACTACTTGCAATTTCTCCCTACAACCATGGTGGAAAGACAGTCTTGAATAAGGGGCAGTGAAGGTGGATCACTGAAAGCACAGAGAGTGCATAGTCTGAAGTCAAGAAGGAGAATGTGAATCAGTGAAGAATTGAAATTATTAAAATGAAACCGTATTGCCTTGTACCACAGAGCCAGCAGGGGAAGGGACCACATTGAAAGAATGGAACAGTGAGGATGTAGGATTACAACATTCAGCCCAGAGTCAGCAAGAGAAGGGACCAAAGTGAAAGAATGGAATAGTGAAGATGTAGTACCACAGCCTGCAGCATAGAGCCAATGGAAGAAGAGACCACGCTGATGGAATGGAACAGCGAAGATGTAGTACCACAGCCTGCAGCATAGAGCCAATGGAAGAAGGGACCACAATGAAGGGAGGGAACAGTGAGGATGCAGGATCACAGCATTCAAACCAGAGTCAATGGAAGAAGGAACCACAGTGAAGGAATGGGACAGTAAAGATGTAGTACCACAGCTTGCAGCAAGAGTGTAATAGTGAGGATGAGAGGGTATAACTTGCAGTCAGGAGTTGGGAATAGAAAGAATCTTACAGGGGCATTGAACACTGAAGACAACAACATACAAACTGCACTACAAAGTCAGGAAGAGAAAGAGCCACAGTGGAAGAATATGAGTGAGAATGCCAGGTCACATCTTGCAGCACAGAATCAGAGGGTAGAAGGAGCCACAATGGAGGAGTGTTAGAGTGTAGATGATGGCAAACAGCCAGCAGCAAGGATATAGGAAGGAGAAAAAGTCACAGTGGAAGAACATAACAGTG